CGTAGATTATTATAGGTAAATTATAAATTTGTTTTTTGAAATGGCAAAATTAAATACGAGGTTTGAATTTGCATATTTTTACATATTATTTTGCCATATTTTAGGAAAAGTGCGAACTTAGTAGTTTTCAGCATATTTGTGCATATTTATTATTATTTTTTTTTATGTACTTAAAATTGAAAGGAAATATCATATCTGGATAACATTCAAAAATATTACTTAAAAAAAGTTATGCTTTCAGGATATAGCTAACGTACCGGCTCAAATAGCGTTTGAGATTTAGAGAGGCTACTATTGAAGCCTGACTAATATAATATTGAATATTAAGCTTAAAAAAAATTTAGAAAATGTTAAGGAGGGCTGTTAAAATTGTTGGTGGAGGCTTGGCTCTAAATGTCCCCCTATTTGCGCAATGCCCATATTATGGTAAGTAGGTATGAAAGATTGTATGAGTTTCATTGTGAAAAAACTGCGGCAAAATTAATTGACATCTAAATTCTTCGAAGCAATGAAAATCAGTAAATATGTGTTCATTAATAACGGTGTTAGCCAGTGCCGCAACTACATAGTAAGGGGCCCGTGTGCGATATTTTTTTTGGGCCCCTTCCTAAATTAATTTTTATTGTAAGTATTACAATCTATAAGTGCCAACATTTTTAGGTTTTATGTATACTATAACATGAATATATTTTTTTTGGTTCCTACATTTTATTCAATCTGTTTGAAAGAGAACAATAAGAATTATTAATGGTATAGAATAAGCTAAAATAAATAACTGATTGTTTAAATAAATATCTTATTGCTCTTATTATAGGAAGTATAAAAATTAACAGCCTTGCCTAAATTTTTAAATGACTTTTTATTATAAGGTTTTAATAAACCCAAAATTTAAAACTACACAATTTTTTTTAAACAAAATATTCAAATTTTTAATGTAAAAAATTCATTTTTCTGGCTTTTGTGTTTGCAAAAATATTTATTATTATATTGTCTACATCTATTTCAGAAGTTTGCAGCCTTTCAATATTAAGTAAAGCCAAGCTTGATAATCTATCTTGTGAAATGGTACTACGTAGGTAGTTCTTTATGAGTTTTAGTTTTGAAAAAGACCTTTCAGCAGAAGCAGAAGTGACTGGCATAGTTATGAATGTCATTGTAGCCGTAAATACATCAGGAAAAATAGTTGATAGATTTTCTTTTAATATAAATAATGATAGATCTTTTATTGTCATCTTTTTAATGTCACTGTTATTAGTGGTATTATCCTTTGAAAGAAAAAAATCTTGAAGACTGACTATTTGACGCGTGAAGTCACTACTAATATCGTCACGGTACTTTTCAATAAAATCATAAGTTGACTTAATTAAAAGTTAATTTATTTACTTAACCTTAAACAATTAAACACTAAACAATTAACTGATAAATGATGATACTCCGAGCAGTCGTTAGTTACTACTTTACTAGTACCTAAGTCAATATTAAGCTCAGTGCTAAGAACATAATAATTAAAAAGTAGGTATCGTCAATATTCATCATTAAAATTACAAAATATATTTTATATTTATACCAAAACCAGCAACTCGAACAGTCGTGGTCGTGGTCGTGGTCGTCGTATCAGTCGTATCATATTGACATTTTAATAGTTTATAAATAAACACTAATAACATTACTTATATTATGGCGCGTCGTCACTCGTCAACCGTCGTCATTTTCGACTATCAGCCAGTTGTTCTTCCGACAATTCGACAAACAACGACCCATAGAGGCATAGTCGCATAGACGCGATAAAAATAGATGTTATGGAAAAATTGATAGTACCATTGATCATATAATATACAAAAACGTCAAAAACCTACCATCCTATTTTAACATAGGTACCTACTTATCAAATATTAGTATACATACAACTACATTAATGTTTAAACTTAAAAAAAAATTATTGTGAGTAATTAATTTTGCGTTTTTAGACAATTTATGTGTTTGCTCCAGGTTGGGCCCGGCCCCGGGGCCCCCCAAATGTATGTAAACCTTGGGGCCCGTGTGCGCGGCACGCTCTGCACACCCGGTTTTTGCGGCACTGGTGTTAGCATATAACGTACCTAATTCGTATTTGTCAACCAAGTACATATGCAGCCGCCAGCCAGTCAAAGGCGTCCGCAGGAATTTGTCAAGACTCAAGGGGAAGGGCAAAATATTTTGCATTTTAAATTTTTTGTTTCACTAGATAAGTAGGTATCTTATTATTGATAGTTGATACATACGATACAGTAGGTATTGTTTGTGACATAGGTATTTTCTTCCATATAGGCAGAGAATGTAAAAATTATTTATGAATTATACGTGGATACCTAGTTAATAAACCTAATCTTACAGCATTAATTTTAATTAAATTTTGTGTAATTTTAAATTAGCATATAATTCAGTGGCGTATATAGGGGGGAGGCCCCCTAGGCCAGAGCCCATAGTGAATTGCAGGTTCATTTAAACCATTGCATGTATGTTTACACTGTTTACAGTTTTTCACTATGATTAAGTTAGTTAGACGTTTTTAAGGAATCAACAATTAAATTTTAGATTGTCGGGACTTTTGCTTTGATGACTTATTGACTTTGATGTTGAATTCATACTTCATAGTAAGATAACATTAAAATATATAAATAACTGTCAATATTTTTTAAAAATAATCAAAAAATTAATTCTACATAATAATTATAAAATTTAATTGTACAATTTTTATTTGTACCTACTGTAAATGTCATAATCATAACCACCCAGCTCCCTAAATAATCTATAGTTATGGCTATGTTAGTCGTGCTATGCTTGACTAGTGATAACTGGTAAATTGGCCCATAGTGAAAATAATTCGTATATACGCCAGTGGCATATATACTTGTTTTTTTAATAAATAACATTTTTCATTTATTTGATAATGTTAGGTAACTTATACCAACTAAATGTACAATTAAAATTTAGCTTATTCAATCATTGATATTTGATACCTACCACAAACTTAAAAAGTTGAAACCCTTGTAGGTATGCAATCATTAACTGTGTAAATGTTCATATATGAAGTTAATTTAATATGCAAATGTTTGAAATAACATTAAATTTAGTTTTACGTGAATTATGAACAATAACATCAAAATTAAGTACGATAGGTAAATTCTAGGTCCGTTACATTAGCACCACCAAATTTAAAATTCCAAAAAAAAATTATACCAACGATTGTTATTCCATTTGTACACATTTGTAATCCTAATATAAACATTTGTACACCACCCCAAATACCCAAAAAAACGAAATTTCCGTGGTGGTGCTAATGTAACGTTACACCAGCACCCCACTTTTTGTACATTGGACTTAGGGGCTCCAAAATGGTACCAACGATTGTTATTTCATTTGTACACATTTGTAATCCTAATATAAACATTTGTACACCACCCCAAATACCCAAAAAAACGAAATTTCCGTGGTGGTGATAATGTAACGTTACACCAGCACCACACTTTTTGTACAATCGAGTTATCAGTCCCAAAATGGTACCAACGATTGTTATTCCATTTGTAGACATTTGTAATCCTAATATAAACATTTGTACACCTACTCAAATGCCCCAAAAAACCTAATTTCCGTAGTGGTGCTAATGTAACGTTACACCAGCACCACACTTTTTGTACAATCGAGTTATCAGTCCCAAAATGGTACCAACGATTGTTATTCCATTTGTACACATTTGTAATCCTAATATAAACATTTGTACACCTACTCAAATGTTTATATTAGGATTACAAATGTCTACAAATGGAATAACAATCGTTGGTACCATTTTGGGACTGATAACTCGATTGTATAAAAAGTGTGGTGCTGGTGTAACGTTACATTAGCACCACCACGGAAATTTCGTTTTTTTGGGTATTTGGGGTGGTGTACAAATGTTTATATTAGGATTACAAATGTGTACAAATGAAATAACAATCGTTGGTATAATTTTTTTTTGGAATTTCAAATTTGGTGGTGCTAATGTAACGGACCTGTAAATTCTGACTCCACCAAAATGTTCAGCATAATATGAATACATTTCCAAAAATTTATACAGGTGAGTGATAGAGTGACAGGGTTTTCAAAACCTGAATATTTGAAATAACAACAAAATGTTGAATTTATACATTAGATATCAATATAAATATTTATTATGCCTTTGACCGTGGATTATAAATTACTCTTAGATCAATTAGGTTTTGGTGATCTTCTATAGCCCTGGCTTATAAACAGTTTATCAATAGTATATCAAATGCCACTTCTTATTTTTTGCTGATGATGCAACTAGTGACTGTTTAATTATTCAAGAGGAATAAATTATAAATACCTTATATAATTGGTGCCAGAATTGGGGAATGAGCTTAAACATTAATAAATGCTTCTCGATGAGTTTCTATAGGTCTCGTGAGCATATTTATTTTACTTATTGTATAGAAAATAATGAACTTAATTTAGTCTCATCTATTAGAGACCTAACCTTAACCCATAATTTAAATTTTCAGGAACATATTATAGAATGTATAGTAAAAAAATCACTTTGTTTGTTAGAATTGAATAAACAATTGTTATTATCATTAATAATATTTAAGGAAAACCCAGTAGGGTCACAAACAAAAAAACAATTATAGAACCAATATCCACCCAAACGTACAAACATTTAAAACTTGAATGCTCAAAAATAGTTTGTTTCTGGCATCACTGGTGAATCTTTGTAACACAGAAGACAGAACTCATAATAATTTTGATTATCCTTGATTAACTATTGATAAAATAATATTATGTGTCCATTAGTACTCTTTTATATACCAATGACATTACGACGCTGTTATTGAAATACACGATTGAGTGATATTGATTTCCAATAACAATATGATGCAACCATATGTAGAAAATGGTGTGATGCTATTAATTTTATGTTCAACAA